GTATTGGAGCACGTGCTCGCAGAACGGCAGTACACTTGATGCCTCCTCGGATCTAATTTTCTACATATAACAGACTGTTTTCTGAGAATCGATCACGCCGCAACGCTTATATGCAGAATCGTAAGAGGAAATACGATATTTCTTTTTCTGATATGGCGAGTTTAAATCTGCAGAATGTGGTTTCTGTTTGTCGTATTTGATTTTATATCGAGACAAACTCTCTTTATGCTAACGTAGCGAAGTCTATTTGAACGCTCACATATTTATAGACGTACTTGCTGATTTATTAAATATTATTATCACGCGCATTCGGCGCGTTAAATATAGAAAGCTTGATTCTATGTTTTATTTATACGGTGTGTCGCGGATTATGTTCAACGTAAATAAGAAAATAGCATTAGCCGACGTCGTCTTTCGCCGTGGGATCTAGATTTCTGTTCAAATACCGTATTTCACGTTCTTCTCTACGTATAGTTTCCTCACAAAACATCCCCGCAAAACGTTTTCACCGGTTAAGAAGACTCCGCGTTTAATTTGAAAGCACAGAATATATGCACACATGCATCAATTGTTTTCTCTCAAGGTCGTAACGGTGCGGTGAGCCTGGATGTGTGCACGTACACTCTCGTTATCCATTCACTTTTTCAATTATATGTACACGTTTATGTACAACTCGAGAAGAGGTGAGAAAGGGGTGTTGAAGGATAAAGCGAAAAGTAAAGGGAGAAGGAGAAACAGAAAGAGAGAAAGAGAGAGAGAGAGAGAGAAACAGAGAGAGACAGAGAGAGAACGGGGGATGAAATACATAATCCAATGAAACCCTAGAGGTGGCTGGAGAACGCGGCCGTTAAAACCACCCTCTACGAATCCTGTCGTGTTACTAGCTGATTACATGACAGTTACATATAGGTCAGAAAATGAAATTACAAAGCCAGCGCTGTTCAAGGACGCGCGAAACGTATATTAAACGCCTCGCATCGTCGTTTATTCAGAGGTGACCGTGGGTGATTCGCTCACGTATCCATGAATGAAACTACATTCATTAAAGGGCAAGATGCCCAACCCCCTATACGTTATTTTCAACAGCAAGAGCTTTCTGTACTGTATTAGTAACGTTTTAATTTAAGAAATGTCACGTGAGAGAAATAAAATAATAAGTTTAGCTCAAAGAAATATTGTTTTCTAGATTAGATAATTATTCATATTTGACTATTTAATTCGAGTACATATGTATATGGATAAGTACGTTTTTTATATGTTTCTTTAGCCTATCTCTATTTTATACTATTGAGATAAATATCTCAATAGTAACGTATATATGCGTGTGTTACAAGCTTTCAAATATTATTCTTATTTATCTACTTAAAATCTTTCATTTTAGTTTAGATATTTGTCTTTCTATAGATAATCGTAGCCAAGAAGAAACGGACGTTATCTAAGATAAATTACAAATTTAAAGTGCTATTTTTCACACGGAAAGTTCGAAGTGAAAAGGGCGCGAGCTAAGCTAAGTTCGTAGCCAGAATAGCTTTTTCTTTTAGCAAAAAGCTCTCTTCTCAGAGGCTTTGTGAAGCGGCGCTGAGCGGGCGTACTTGCGATGCCATCTCGAAAAATGTGTCGTCGTGCCACTTTAGCATCGTGACAGTAGGTCAAGTTTTTAGAAAATTCGGAGGTAACATCGGTCAGCGTAATCATCTCCGCGGGAGAACGGGCACAACTCACTTCGCCTGGCCCTACCGCAAAACTTCAATAAAGTTTTCCTCCTAATAGACGTACCGTATACCGGAAACCGGACGCGCCGATAAACTTCGAGAATTTGAAACTTTATAATCCAGAATGGGCGATGCTTGAACCCGATTACTTCGTATTTCCGCGCAAGCTGCCGTGAGGAGAATTAATTTCATAAAATAATGTTTCAAAGAGCCTGTATTCTTGAAATATTATCGTTCAAAGTTGAATAACATTCGAATGCCATTGTAATAAATATAACTGCAGTTATTATGTCATTAATATTTACTATGAGAGAATACAGAGAATACCGTATTTTCTGTGTAATATTTTTATAAGTACTTGTAAATTTTAGGCACAAATAGTGGAAACAAAAAAAGTAATGTAATAATAATAATCTTCTTTAAGCTTTTAGAGCTCTTTTCTTAAGAAAATTTCTTTGAAGAGATCTATATTTGTAGAAAATAATATATATTTTTTGTAAAATCGTCTCTCCACGAGTCCTCCTCTCATCAATCACTTTTTCCGTCATCTGCTCTCTTAAGAGTCGTCGCTCATCTTCTTCTGCACATCTTCCTCTTTTGTGAGAGGCTGACACTCCCCGCTGCTATCGACGCGGCTTCACTTATATACTACATCGTTATTTAACTTTATTTTCCAACGGATCAGATTTTAATTGCGGCTGAGGCGCGCAGTGAATTAAAACAAAAGAACCTCGCCACTAAGACCGCTGACGTCATCCCAACAATTTTCAAGATAATTATATACGAAACAATGAAGGTGCCAGTCTATCGAACGTGCTCAAAGTTATGTCTTTCTTTCTATACTTTCCCAATCAATAGCACGATATAATTTAAAAACAACTCGATCCTCGAAAGACGAAATATGAGTAAAGTTATTATCGTTACAATGGAAGAGAATAATTGAAAGAAACAAATATATATAAACTGTAGACCTCTCGTAATTTTTCAAATAAGGTATCTTTCTTTTACATCATTTGTAAGAGCTCTCGTCCCTAGGGGTAAAGAGGAATAATTCCGACAATACTGTGAAAGGGTACATTAACGCTCTATCACATCGTCCTAATTTCCCGTTGAACACTCCCAACAACTTCAGTAATGCACCATGCAACCCGCCAGGAACATAGATACCCAACTATCATACACCCACCTAATCCAGGTTACCCTCTTCGTGACCCGTCAATGGTAGCTACCTCCTCAGCGCTCGCATTGTCTTCTCTAGAAGCAGCGGTGCGATCGATAAATCCCAACGATGCCGGACTATAGCCATTCCGCTAAACTCAGCGCTCTCCTATTTGCACCATCGCCCGTTTCTCTGAGGCGAAGAAGACTTTCGCGGCGAACCCTTTCGGGATCAAGTAGACGGGTTCGTTTGATGTTCGCTAGGGAAAAATCTGAGATTTTTCGCGCCGCGGTGTCCAACCCCCGATCCCGTTCATCCTCTCTTTCTCTCTCTCTCTCTCTCTTCCTCTTCTGGTTGTTGTACGGTTTCGTCATACGGAAACTGCCCGACACGGTAGACTCTCAGCGCTGGCACCCTTGCCCTTGACTACAGGGTGCGAGAACGCTCGTCTGAGGGGTTCGTCGGCTCTCTCTCTCTCTCTCCCTCTCTCTGCTCCCCTCTTCCTTCCTCTCTCTCTTTCTCTTCCGGCAGACAGGTCGGGCACAAAAAAGAAAATGAGGAGTGAAAGGGTTAGAGGAGGAACGTCGCAGACGAGACGCATGTCGTCCTGCCTTCACAGCTTTCACCTTCTCACTCTTCTCAACACGATGTACGTTCGTTCATCCGTCCGTCTGTATGTACGCACCGCATAGTTGCATGGCGTCGTCTCTCTACGTGCCGACGTAAAGTGAGTAGAATCGCGTCGAGTGGAGGGTGCGGAGTGCCCCGACGGTGCGTCGAGTGATCATTCGGGGTTGAGTTGGTTGGTTAGTTATTCGATTGGTCCCCCGGTCCTACCGTAAGAGGCCCATTCATGTAAAGATCGCCGCTGTGTCATGGCATAACAGTATTTCGCGTACAGCGTACGTGTAACGCGGATCAATTAAAATAGATACACGTATTTCCTTCTATTTGTACAAAATCATTCGTTCGTCCCGTAGTCAGGTCGATTATATTACCGCAAACCGTCACAAATAAACTTGTAATAGGATTAAAATTTTGCAGAACGCTGAATGGCACTAGGAAATATTTTCATGTAGATCCCGCGCTCGGTTTCGCGCGCTAATTGCTCTTCAATTTCAATGGCATCGTTATGTCGCACGTTTACGCGGATTCATATCGGGGCGATCGACCTCGAGTGCACTCTCCATGTAATAGACGTAGACTCGAAGCGACGTAATCAAACGGTGCATTAAATGCAACGTTACGACTGAAGATCGATGCGCGAAATATATATATAGCAGTGTACGATCACGAACGTTGCGCTACGTCAACATAAAGAAGTAAGCCGTAGCGGACACCGCGCTATATTTTATCGCTACGCGACGTATAATTGGAATCTACAAAGTTGATAGCGGAAAAGCGTTGTGGCGATACGTCATAAAATGCGTTTTTCCCAATTTGCCCATAAAGTCGAGTTAAAAGATGTATTCCCTCTCGTCACTGTCACGTTATCGCGCAATATAAAATTTGTAGCAGTCAGCCAAGTTTATGCTTTACATCTCCGAATTATTTAAAGGAGATCTACAAGTGAGATCTTATTCTTTTCTATTTTATAACGCGTAAAGTTCAGTAACACAAGTTTCCATATGTTGTCCTATTTTCTCTGCGATTATATTTATGTGCATTTTTAATGGTAAACGATTAAGTTGTGTCATTTACAAATTAATATTATCGCATAATTAATGAGCCTTCATTTATCCATCTTTTAAGATTATTATTATTATTTTTTGTTGTTTCTTTTTTAACAGTTTAAGTTAGAAACCTGTTCATCTAATTACGGTATCATGATGTCGCATCTGCGGCATCAAATTCGAGTCGCAGGTTCAAGGATAAGACTGGTAGAAGCTTTTAGGAGTGTAACGTGGGAGTGTAAAGAGCTTTCGTAAGGTATTTCATGAAATTGTTAACACATTCCCGTCCGTTGTAAGAGAGAGCATAACTCGCTGCAATTGCGACACAAGATTTCAAGGGATTTTCCAGTGTTTCCGGTTTAACGGTGTTAACACGTGAACCGCTACTTTCGCGAATATTGCACGCTCGTTATACAGTCGTCAATTGCACGCAGCTTAGGAAGATATGAGACATACCTTTCAGATGTTCTGGGGTATCCGCCGCGCCGGCTCGCATTATGTCGCTCAGATAGTGTTCCAAAGTCCTCATGTTGTCTAACGGTGAGTTTCCATTAGCCGTCATACGATCCTGGAAAATATCGAGGAGACACCATGAGTTTTATATTCGTAATGGCTCCTGTAACAATTGTAGCATTATGTTTTACGAGAAAAAACTATCTTTTTAATATCAATACTAGAAATAATTTTAAGCAATTACCAGATAAAATGGGAGATACGAAGTCATTATAGCTCGACAAATAGCTTTCGCAATTATGTATCTTGACCTGAATATGCGGTATTTAAATAGAATATGGTATTTTTTTTGCAAGTCTACAAATCTTAATCTCGAAATGCGTCAGTCAGTGACGAAATGTTTGCCTGGTTCATTTAATTTCGCGCGGACGATACTCGCGGGCCTCCATTACGACGATTGTCTCGCGCGAGACAAGAACCGAGGGTGCGCTCTCGCTATAATATACAAAAAGTCGCGCATAAAACTCCATGAATTTTGAATTTTTCAATTTCCACCGCGAGCCATTTCAAGAGATAAGGTGCTTACTTCTGGTTAGGAAAAAAGCTTTCTAGCGGTGAGCGAATGTACTGAATGGAATACCGCGTAAACCAGCAGCGGCTCCTTGGGAGGAGGACAAGTGAAGCGGAGAACTTGAAAAACGATAAGAGAGAGAAGTAACGTTCCGGACGGTGGAAGGAAGTATCTGCCAGAAAGAAGCATACCACCCGTGAGCAGCAGGAAAGAAAGTACGGGGATAAAAGACGGGCCAGAGAAAGGCCTGTAATAGACCACTTGTAACGAATCGGGGAGTGCAGTTAAAGCGGGGAGGTATTCAAAAGTCCACCCCCGACATCGTGCCACACCCTTAATGCACATCCGTTTCCTTTCTTTTATTTCGGCTATCGCGCGACCGAAACGCCATGCTTCTGACGAAAGTTTGATAAAGCCTGACACGGCCCTCTTTTATTTCGGACGTCACGCCACGGAATTGTCGACTTCCCCGCGTCGAAGGTTCGATAAAAAGGTCGGCCATCGAAAATTAATAATCTTCGCGATCAGGTCAATACGTCATATCCATCGTCCGTAAATCTTGATCGATTTACGCGTCATAGGCAAAGATTCAAGCAAATTTACGATTTACCAAGATACAATTTAATTAACCATTCGCAGCCATAGATTCTCTACGAATGCTACTAAACAGTGAAAGATTATACTCAATAAATTATATTTTTTGTGTATGTTATAAATTGCTGCAAATGACGACAACTTTTAGCTAATAGTACAATTTAAAAGTAGGGACCAATTATACAATGTCGATTTATTCACCGAGTTTAGCTTGTAGCGAATGATTAAATCGTATTGAGATACAGTGTAAAAATTTTTTTCATGCTGCTTGAAAAGTGTTTATCAAGAGTAATCCGCACGAGTACGTTTTCCTTTCGCAGCGATTTCTTTGTCCTGATTTCTTCTCGTGCATGTAATGTCTCGTAAAAGAAGCAGACAAGGAATTATGGGAAAAAGAAATGGGTGAGACATGATAACGGAGGAGAACCAAGAACCTTTGAAGGTGACCAATTGAGAAGAACGGCCGGTGTAACGAAAAATAACGGGCGATGGCACGGTGCAGGAGAAATGTCTATTCGCGCAAATAAATGCTCCCCCTTGGAGCATCGCCGAGTGGACGGAAACGTCTTGGAACGTCTATGGTATAAATGTTTCATATTTTTACGTGTCTGTTACTGTTTTACGAGAGAAAGTCTGCTCTTCGAAAACATCTATGAACAATCTATGACCTATGCGCGAAGCTAGAAAATAAATATGTGAAATTTTGATAGCGCAAGGCTAGAAAAATCTAAGAAAAGATCAATTCCAAACTTTTCGGAGAATTTCTGTTTCTGAAGTATAACACGTCTAGAATAGTTTGCATAAACATACAATATCTCATTACGTATTAGTGCCATCGCTACTTAATGAATCGTAAATCTCGCGCGTAATAGTTTACTTGATATGCGATATAAATAAATCTCTCACAGCGTGTGATAATCCTCACACGTCTCGCCCATCCTGGACCAATATTGAAATTTACGCCAACGCGCGAGCGAAGCGCGGCCTTCGCCGTCGTCCTGGAAGGAAACGACCGTGACACTTATTTGGTCAAACGCGGCGGGGCACGGGGAAGGACAGAGAAGGGAGAGACGGACATACCCAGGTATATATTGTACGAATGGAGCGGAGAGGAGCGAAAGGGGTGGACCCCCCGATGTCAAATAATCGTGCCCATCTTTCCACGCCGGCATGGCCGGTGGAGGTGCAAAAGGTGGCCCCACCTTCTCCTCGAGCGCGTCCCCTTCGCGCCGCCCGTATAACCCCATGGTCTTGGTGTCTCTTCCTTCCTCGTGCACGCGGGCCCCCCGGACCCCACCTGGGTACCAATCCGCTTCCCTCTCCCGGGCCGTTCCGCGCGCGCGTGCACGCACACGGGCGCACGCGCGCACCCACGCACCCACAAGCACTGGACTCACGCGCGAACACACACACACACACACATTCACATAGAGGGGAAACGTTTCTCGGCTCCGTTCTGTCTCTCTCTAGCTCACGCGCGCGGTGGAAAATCAATATAGGGAAACCAGGAAGCAACGGCAGGGCGTCGACAGCAACCTCCGTGCAGGCTCCGTCCCGGTACCACCCCTACTCGTCGTCCCCGTTCTCTCGTTGTGCATCCCCTCTCCCCGTTAACTCTCTCGCGGTCCCCTCTCCTTCGCTATTTCCGTTCCCCGTGCCCTATTCGGTATTGCTTGGCTATAGTACTCTCTGTATCCGTAATTTCCATTCGGGGCTGATCGTTAGGGATCTCCGATGTAGTCCTTCGCGCAACTGTTTATTGACGATCCTCAATACCGTCTTGATCGTGACTACCGCTACTGTCTCGGCGACCACCCCTCCGGTAGGACACTGCGCAAATTTTCCCCCACTGTCGAGGAGTAGGTATAGGTATGCGGGTCGGGACAGGGAGAGGTAGGAAAACTGCCGTGGAATTGGGTGATCCGGAAGGAGACGTGAGGAAAACACCGCAGCATCGTATGTACACGTCGGGGGAAACGCTGGTTCCCGTACCACGGACGGGTTGTACATCACGGAGATGTATCTTCGGATGTATCTCCGTGCCCCGCCGGCGATTCGTTATCCCATCCGCGCGAGAGGCACGTACCTATATATCGTATCCCTTCTCCTTCCCCCTCCCGACCAGGACTCGCGAATGTACATACATCGTATCGACGAATTCGCGCGGCATCCGAACGCGAGCGGAGGATCCACAACAATCCTCCTCGATCGAAGACACGCAGTACGCACACGCCGTGCAACTCTCCTCCCGTGTATCAGTTACGAGAATTTCATTCGACCTAGAACCCCACGCGCCTCCGTGGCTGTGAGGCGCGCGCGGTCGCGGTTGGCCCAGTTCCGAAGTTGGTGGCTCGTAAAAAGCAACGACACCTCCTCTTCGCTCACGACCTCCCTATATATATATTTATATATATATGTTATATGTGTCCGTGTGTATGTATGTATGTATGTATGTATGTATGTATGCGCGCGCGCGCGCTAATACTATCGTTCCTCTCTGCTGACCCCACGTTTGCGAATGACCCGTGGCCTGTCATGGGCACATCCCGACCTGGTCGGGATTGAATTATAGCGAGCGGTGCAGAGGTGCTGAATGTAATCCAGGAGTGGTCCGGGAACACTGGTGTAAACGCACGTAAATTTTCTAGGGGCTGACACCGCGTGTCCATCCGTTTTGCGCAGTCTCCGCGAGAGCGAGGCGGCCGTGACGTAATGTCCGCACGACCGGTGCGACATTCCCGGTTTACGTTACATTCGTGGAGAAACGGCAGAAATTTTGTCGCCCGCGTCCTTTTAACACAGATATCATTCGATACTTTCGCAGGCACACGTTTCACATACGCAGAAAACTACCTTGAAAATAGCGTAGGACGAAGACGATCTTCGTGCTTCATTTCGGAATACGCTTTCGACATCTGTCATAGAACATAAAATTATGTTTCCTGTACCTTGACCACAGAAATAGTACCTTACATTAGCAAATAAAGCGGGGCGCCGAAATGATATCCACGCACGGAAACTGCGGGCTCTAATGAGCCATCAAATGTTCATTAGGATACACTTAGAGCGTATTAGGGCCTCACCCTAGATAAACATGCGATTAATTACGCGATAAATAAATCTATAAAGCGATTTACGAAGGGGGACGTAGGAAAATAATGTCCGGAAGTAAGTTGGACGACGATTAATTTCGACGGAGGGCAAATAAAGACCGAGAGGAACTTAGGCGGAGAGGGGGGAAAGCTAGAAGGGGAGAAACGTAAAAAGGGGTGAAACGTGTGAGGCAGGAGCGAGTATATATATTCAGATATATATGCAGACGGCGCAGACGCCTTCAAGTTCCGCGTTTTTCGTCGTGCACCTGGTTTTTTTAGTCTAGACGCGAATGTTCCCATTTCATCGGGACCATCTTCGTCACCTTTTGTGCCGTCCCCTTTTCTTTCGGTCTGACTGCTGCGTGTTTATATTCCACCCTCGCCGACGCTCGTCCGCGCTATTTTACATGCGTTTACACACGCGCGAGTCTGTGTTCCGCATTTGGGCCGTGGGGGGAGGGTGGTCGCGTCTGTATTGTGACAGTCGGAATATCCATTATTTGGAGGAGCTGAACGAGACGAGTAATTATTATGTCGGACGCGACACTGTCGTAAAAGGGAGAGGGATAGAAATAATAACGCGAGAGTGAGAATGTATTATATCGCGCGGGAAAGGATGGAAGAATTCAGGCTGCGAAGCACGACATTCTGTTGATGTCTGTTGCGGCGCATTACAATTGTATTTTATCTCAGGCGCCTTATTCCGGGCGTTTGATACCGAAATGGTATATAGTTACTTTATTACGTCGCGCATGTCCCATGCGCACGTGTACGGCATAGGAATAATTAATTTAACTAATCCAGCTGTAATTTCAAAGGGGTCACGTCGCACGGGAAATCGATTGTGTCGCTACT